GAGGGATGCGCGTTCGTTCGTTCGTTCGTTCGTTCGGAGCTCAAAATTGAAAAATTTGAAATAGAGAATATTCTACAGTATCCACCTACGTCATGCTCGCATACAAGATAGATAGAGAAAGAGAGAGAGAGAGAGAGAGAGAGAGAGAGAAATATAGGAGGAAAAAAAAAAGATAAAGAGCACTTTCGAAATTTCGAAACGAACGAACGAACAGGGAAACGGCATTCCTGTCCCTTTTTCTCTCCAAGCACGGCAATTTGGATCATCGACGCGTACCTCTCTTTTCATTCTCGCGTCCATCGTGAACGTGGACGTGTGCACGGCTGCCTGGCAATAAATCCAGACTTACTCTTCATCCTATCTCTCGGCTTTGTCGTGTGCTAGCGCTACGGGAACTCTGGGACAGGCATTGTCGCGGTTATATCGACGTCGAGAAAGAACGGCAAAAAAATGTGTGTGAGAGAAAGAGAGAGAGAGAGAGAGAGAGAGAGAGAGAGAGAGAGAGAGAGAGAGAAAGATAAAAAAAAAAAAACGTGTCATAGGGCGGTTCTCGATGGAAGCTGAATTAAATTCTGAGATTTATCGCGTCAATAACCGTGCATTAATTTACGATTTTTCGAGGGCTGCAGGTGGTGAGAAATAGAACGCATAAGAGTAAGAGAGAAAAAAAGAAAGAAGAGAAAGAGAGAGAGAGAGAGAGAGAGAGAGGGAGAGTGAAAAAGTAGTAGAATGGGGATTGGTTACAGGACGCGTAAATTCACGGCACGCCGTAGCGGCGATTGTTTCGCCTTTCGTAACGAAATATAGCACTAGGAAAGCGAAGGAAGGGTGCCTGCCGGTCTGTGGGTGGGATTGAAGAAAAGTGGGGGAAGAGTTTTGCTAGAGGAACGCTTGAAAACACGCAATAAGAACACACGACCGCATAAACGCATACCTATACGCGTTAGCACGCGATGAGGCACTCGTAAGGGTGGTTCGAAGGGGTAGCTTTGCTATAGGCTGTCGCGGTTACTTGCTCGTATCTCTCTTTCTCTCCCTTCCACCCTATTCTCTTCTATCTTGCTCTTTCACTTTATTGCGATTGTATTCGTGTACTTATCCCCGTCTCTTAGTATATATACATATATACCTAGATATATGTATATAGATATATATATAAATATATATATGTAGTAGGTGTATGTGGAACGATGCGAGACGACCCCAAGTGTGGGCAACGACATATGCGACTGGCGTGTTCCACATCTAACTTGTATTGACCATTACTCAACGTTCCGTGTCCGTAAGTTGTGTGGCAACCGCTGCCATTCACCGAAAGTCGACGACGTTAACGGAAGCGGCTTGCCGCGCCGCGAAACCTATGCGAAAAACTTAACGTTCACAACTTCTTGAAAAGAAAAAATCAAAAGGTCAAAATTAAGGGCCTCGTGAAAGTTTAGTGTTTAATATGTGCATGCATGTTTTAGTTGATACTCCTACTTTTTTTTTCTTTTAATTAGAACAAATTAATATGCTTGTAAATTAGATTTTTACGTTTTTTCGTTAGTTATATATTATTTATCACACTTTTATGATGCTTGATCTTTTTTAAGATACACACAGATTAATTTTTTAAGACAGATTAGAGAGATTATTTCATATTCTCCGTTAATGACAGCAAACGCGTTAATATAAAACGCGTTCGTTAATGACAATGGATTAATTATAACGATATGTTCGATACTAAAAAAATACCGTGGATTATTCCTTTCGTTTTTTTTTTTTATTCATCTAAAGAGACACAATACATTCATACAAATAGTAGTAGTAGTATATAAAGTATGTAAGTAAAGACGAATACTGAGATTTTTCACGGTACGCCATGAACCGTGGACCGCAATTTCAGGAAATCTTCGGATTGCATAGACGGAAGAAAAGTCTTTTATCCGGCTCTTCGAGATTTCCCTTCGTTTCCATTATTTTTTCTTTTTTATTTCTCTCTCTCTCTCTCTCTCTCTTTCTCTCTCTCTCTCAACTATTAACGCCTTCCTTCGCTTTTTCTTCTTTTACACACACACACACACACATACTTATACACAAAAATATACACAATCTCAATGGTAATTTTTCTTTCTCCTTCTTCTCTTCTACTTTCTTCAACTCTTTCTTCTTTCTTTCCTTCTATTTCTCTCTTTCTCTCAGGTTTCTCTCATCTTCCAGCTAGCAACAGCCATTTCCCTTTTACGATTTCATTCGCGCACAGTACGGAAAATAATATTTACCAGGCTTTTTAAGTTTAACGCGTTAAATCGCGGTGCCACGGATTACACGTTTAACGACTTTTCTCTTTTCCGCAACGCGGAAAGAGACCGAGCGAGTCTTTTCATTTCAAAACTGAGAGACCGGCCACCACAAAAAAAGAGCAGAGCCACAGACGGAAAAGTAGTGCGATTGAGTAAGAGAGAAAGAAAGAATAAAAAAGGGAGAACCGAGGAAAAAGAACATGCCCGACTTTAATCCCTTTGATTCTTTTCGCAAAACGAATGCCTATGATCTAACGCGTGTTTTGTGAATACGAATGCTTTCAGCCGATAGGCGCTTCAGTCCCCGACCTCTTTTCGTTTCACTCACGAAGAAAAAATTTTTTTACAAATTGCGAGCTTACGAGCACTACCTACCTAATATTCTTTTTAAGTCAAATATTTATTTCAAATAAAAACATATGAAATTACCTAAAAACACTCCAAGTAGTGTTGTTCTCAAAATATTTTAAGATACTTCTTCTTGTAGGTTATGTAGATACTTTTATTGCTGACGTAATGAACAAAAATGGTCAACCTATTTTTATCTATTTTTATATATATATATATTAATTATTTTTTATTAAATATTAATTTAACTTTAAAATATATTAATACACCCCAGATTGCATATATGAGTTTAATTGGTTACGTTAATGGTACACATTGAACAAATATATACGTCATTCATCCGCAAAATGTTAATTAATATATATTTATGCACCGATTAATCAAATTATTTGTGTATCTCTCATCTGAAAATAAAATATTTAATAAGAATATAGGTATATAGGATTATTATTTTTATTGTTAATATTATATTATTTCTCTTTTGCGCGTGCATCGTTCACATAAAAATTTTCGAATCGACCGAGAATACAACTTCTTCGACCTTGTCGCAAAAAATAGTTTCTCTTGAAACTCGGTCGTTTACACATTTCATATATATGTATTACGTAGGTCGCGAGTGTCCTACATAAATCCTTAGAACTTACTGCACTCTAACAACGAGGTTCATTGAGATAGATCAGTTCTATCTAACGCGAAACTAAAAGATGGACGATCGAGTCTTTCGAAGTTTAAATCTTCCGAACGAAAGAAAAAGATCTTTAAGAATTCGATGAAAAAAATAAACTATATTTTAAACAGGATCAATTTTTCGACTATTTTATGTGCGTATATTCTTCCAATTTGTTATATATATATATTCTTGCAAAGATGCTAAGATTGATACAAAAAATTATTTCATTTTTCGACATATATTTAAAATGTAATAGGAAACAAATGATGTTAATGACAAGCCATATTTTGAAAATTCTTAATCTCCGTTGCGATATACTCGGATGTTGGAAATATGATAAGACGAAAAGAAATGATAGACAAATTGAGAAAGAAAAAAGGAAGAAGAGAGAGAGAGAGAGAGTAGAAACGTGCACGATTTCAAGAATTTTATTCGCATCGCATGCCAGGCTCCACCGGTCGAAAGAATATTTTATTTAAGCTTCCTGCTATACCTCCGAAACGACCCTCTGACCACGAGATACACCCCAAGCCTCTGGGTATTCCTAATTTTCTCTGGCAGACGCCGCTGGAATCTTAATTATGAGGAAGAATTCGTGAAAGTCCAAGCCTAAGCTTACTCTCTTTTCTATATTTTTTTTTCCTTTCTATCTGTCTCTCTCTCTCTCTCCCTCAAATAAGTGCACAATGCTTTTATATCAAATATGAGTAGTACTTTCGAATACTTTGACGTATTTCCGTGAAAATCGAGAGTCATATTTTCGAGGATCGTTGCGGTTATACGTTAAGAGGTACGTTACTTGTGAAATTTCTTTGATATATGCGTCTGTATTTCTCCGTAATAATATTCAGCAAGTTGGGGTAAAGGGTCGTGTAAAGCATTAAAATACGTGCGATACATGCTTAAAGCAGTCAGATGATTCAAAATAAACGTTCTTTAAAGAAAGAGAAAATAGGTCGAGTAAATGGCTGGCTGGTACTTTTTTTTTTTTATACATATTTTTTCTTGTTGTATCTATATATATATAGATTTATATATGTTGTATCTATATATATATAAAAGAGAAAAAGCATAAATGTTTACTTTATTTACCTTGTATTTATTTGATCGATTAAAGTACATATTGCATGAAGGTAAATATCCAGAGATATTTACTGGAAAAGAGAAAAAAAAATTTACGAGAAAAGATCCATCGTTTGGTAGCAACGTAGCTTCAACGTCGCTTACATTTCTAAGAAAAACACGAGTTTAAAAGACGAAAAAGGTAGAAACTGTAGGAACGTAGTAACACATTCTTTTAACCGTATACTTAGAGCGTATTTGTTTTATACTCGTACCTTCCAAGGGCTGTTAGCCTTCTACGTCGTTGGACGAACGACCAAAGCTAAAACTTACTTCTTCCTTGTTCTACTTCTTTTTTCTTTCGCTCTTCCACCCCTCCCCACCCCCCACTCCCCATCCTTTTTTTTCTTTTTCCTTTTTTTCTTCTTCATCTTTCTTTTTTATTCTCACATTTTTACTTTTACGCGTCAGCGAAATTGCCTTAACAAAACCCAATAAAACTTAACGCCATCGTCCGATTTGTCAACTTCGTTTGATCTTTTAAAAATCATTGTTTGTAAGTTCTTTCTTCCTTCTTTTTTTTTTTAGCCCTTATTAAATCTTTACTAACTTGATTATTTTTTTTTAATGTGTTACAGGGATTGCAGAGTTGTTAGAGATCCACAGACCTTCAAGTCAAAAGGCTATGGATTCGTGTCTTTTGTTAAAAAAGCGGTAAGCAATGATATTTTATGTTTTTTTTACAACAACAACAACAAAATATTAAAGAAAAAAAAGGGAACAAATATTACAAACGTTCTTCACTTGACCAACTCTAAACCGACAATTTTATTTTCTTTTTATTTTTTTTTTTTTGTATCTTTATCAATCAAACGCATCTGGTAGAAAATTAACTTTTTATTCTTATTAGAAAAACTCGTTGCCGAGATAATGAGCTAACTTGTACAAAAGAGCAGAGCCTCGGCAACGACTTATGTAAATGTAGGACTTTACATAGACTACTTCTTCTTCTTCTTCTTCTTCTAAGCAAACTCATCTATCGATCATCATTTGAATGTACACACGCATACAACACACATACATATACTTTCTCCATGCGGCATGCACACGCATACACACAAACATACCTATATTCGCACAATATCGGCATTGCATATGCTTGGTATGACAACGCATCGTCTCAGTTCCGATAGGGCACCTGTTCCATTCCGATGCAAACGACCGACGAACTTTACGACAATCCATAAAGATCGAAATCGTGAGAAATTAACAGCGCCAAGCTGGAAGTTCGAGCTGGCCTTTCGATGTTCGATCGATGAAAATAGTAGGGATGAAAACGAAGGGATGGTTACCCAGAAGCAGCAGAACGTTACTGGCGGAAGCAGCTTCGGGGTTTACAGCATCGTTCTTGGAATAGAGAGTAAGAGAGAGAAAAGACGATAGCGAATGAACGAACGAATGAGCAAGAAAGAGAGAGAGGTAGTCCGAGTTTTACTGTACCCCACCAAAATCCGCGACGTAAATCACGACGAAGTTAGATGTACGGCTGAGTAAAAGAAGGCTTTCCTCCGTTTATGGCGAGGTTATTCGTCGAGGCGGCCGAACCCGGAGGTAAAACCTCCTCTCGTTTCCCCTCTGTTTTAATGTCCTATCGATCTGGACCACCGCCGGCACCTGACTCACACCCACGGTATTACTATTGCCGAAGTATAAATTTCCCGGGTGTCTCCGCTAACCTCGAGGAACACGCGAAAATTTCTCCTCCTCTTCCTCTTCCTCCTCATCCTCCAGCTCTTCTCTTCCTCTTCCATTTCAAGCTCTTCTATCCTTTTCTTCCTTCCTCTTTTCATCTCTCTCTCTCTCTTTCTCTCTCTCGGTCACTATTTCCTTCGAGCACCGGATACACGTATCTAAATCGCGTACTCTGATCGCACGGCCAAACGACATCCCCTCCAAACTCTTTTCTACGATCTACTACTACCACCACTACTACTAAACGAACAAAAATACGAATTCCTTGGATTCTACACTACTCTTCTTTTCCGATAGCATCCACATTGTCTATCTCTATCTCTTTCTATCTCTCTCTCTCTTTATCCTCTTTTTTTCTTTTTCTTCTTTCAACGTTTTTAAACTGTTGAAACGATCGAAGATTTCGTTCGTTCGTTCGTTTTACAAGAAAGAATTTTCTCTTGAAAATCTTCTCATAGATTCGACGAAGGACACATACAGACAGACAGACAGACATTTACCACAAAAGAGGATAAAGAAATCGAAATAACTTTTTGTGAAAGCCACGTAAGTCGTAAGTGAGAGGAAGAAGGAACGGTGCTTGTAGGGTACCTGCGCATGACTTAATAATGCATGCAAAGCAGTTGGGTGTCGGTTCGGTCAGAGTGCTTCACGGCTGATCGCTGATGTCTATACACAGTCCTCTTCTATATAAGCTTGTGGTTTCGAGTGTGAGAAAGAGATAGCTAGCTAGCTAGAGTCATCTTCGTAGTTGGACAAGTTCAAACTGTATAGGGATTATAAAATGTTAGGGTGGATCAAAAGGAAAAAGAGAGAGAGAGTGAGAAAAAAAAGAATAATATTTATTGGTTTTAAAAATGCTATAGCATTTGCTCTTTTTATACAAATATAATATATAATAAAATAGCTGTAAAATAAATCTAAGAAGGTAATAGTTATAATAATAATATAGAAAGATAAAGAGAAAGAAATTAAACGATACCTAGTGTTTATAAGAATCCTACTACTTGTACTTCTTATATATGATATATAATATATATGTAAATAATAATAATAATAATTTAGTAAGAAAAATAATTTGACTATATAGTAAAAGCTTAAGATAGAAATATTGTATTATAAAAAAGAAAGATAAATGAAAAGAAAGAGAAATAGAGATAGATAGGGCGTGTTGGAAGCTTGAGCTCAGTAAAAAAAAAAACCAAAAGAGGAAGAGAGGAGAAGGACGTTGATATCGACCGGAGTTTAGAATCGGCTTAGAGCCGAGCGTGTTCGGTCTCGCGGTCTATCTGGGCTAACCGCGCAAATATGCGGCATCATATCGGGAATGGAAATTCGAATCGGAAATACTTTATCCCACAGGAGCACGAATGTCGTGGGATAAGGACCGTAGAGTAGTGGGAAAATGGTTAAGGTGCACGAATCTCGAAGAAGAAGAAGAAACGAGTGAGAGAGAGAGAGAGAGAGAGAGAGAGAGAGAGAGAGAGAGAGAGAGAGAGGAAGAAGGGAGGTTAAAGGTGGAAGAAAAGCGAAGAGAAAACTCCCGGAATCCTTCGAATGGCGCAAACGGTGAGGAAAAGAGTGGGGGTGCTCACCACCACCCTCTTTTCTCCAACCACGCGTTTGTGAAAAGCCTTTCGACGGTCACAACCCCTACCGCTGGAATTTCTCAATGGCGGGAGTATTTTCAGCCATCTCTTCTTCTCTCTCTCTTTCTCTCTTTCTCTTTCTTTCTTTCTTTTTTCTTTAGCTCTCGGCCTCTTTTTATCTCATCTTTTCTCAACTCCAAAGATTCGTCCAAGCGGCAGTCAAATAAAATAAAAACGAAGATTATTTTTAGTCTCTTTCTTTTCTTTTCCTCCTCTTCTTTTCTTTGTCTCTCTATATTTATCTGTCTTTCTTTAATTTTCTTTCTATTTACTATTCTTCAAAATTTTGTCTAACTCCATCTTTCTTAAACATTTGGAAATATGAATGATATACATAATGATAGTCGTATATATGTGAGGGCATGTGTGTGTTTAGTTATTACATAGGTGTCATTTTTCTTACAAATCAAACTTTTTGTTATAAACTTATGTAAGTACGTTTCTCCAATTCTGATCGAAGACAATTTCTTCATTTTATTTTACTTTTCTTTTTCTTTTCCGAGCAAATTCTTCCGAATATTTCATTCGAATCATACAATAGTCATCTATAGGATAGGCCAGAGTACACTTATGTATATATATATATATATATATATATATATATATATAGTCTGAAAGGTATATTGAAGCAAGGCCATGACCGTTTTGTTACCTACTCGAGAACAAATAGCCCAGCCACGTGGAGGCTCGTTCTCCCTTCTATCCTTCGTCATAAAGGATAGCGCCTTTTCTTCGAGAAGGGAATTCAAAGCAGCGATGGGAAACACCGCAGTTTGCCGAGGGCAGTTCTTGGGAAATGCGAGGAATCGGAGGTGCGATTTGTCGAATGGAATTCCCTCTCGAACTAACGTATCTTAGACTCGATCAACTACCATCCCTGCCATTTTCGTTGGTAAAAGGGAAAGGAATGGAAGGGAAGGGAAGGGAAGGGACGTTACGTTCTTACGATTTACTTTAGCCACTTAACGAGCTGTCCCATCAGTCCGATTTAATTCTTTCGTCCTTTGTGTGTCATTCTTTACTTTTCTCTTTCTTTCTCTTTCTATCTATCTATCTTTATTTCTTTTCTTTCTTTTTTTTTTTTTTTTACTATTTCTTTATCTCTTTACTTCTCTTCGCGTACCTTAGATTCGATCGTCGTAGGAGGAGAACATTAAAGGACGTCACTCGTGCGAAAGGTATAAACGTTAACGTTATTCCTATTTCCACGAATAAGAAAAAGAAAAAGAAAAGGAAGTAGAAGAAGAAGAAGAAGAAGCCGGGACGGTAAAATTTTTCTCGATCCGCTTACGGCGTGCTTTTCTCAAAGCAGAGCAGTAATAAATAAAAGTTACGATCGGTGTCCTGCGTACTCGGAGTTTCAGCCGTTTGCTGTTGCTCGTAACGTGGCTTTACTTCTTACGTTTATTCCATTTATCTCGACCCCCTTTTGCACGGGCGAATCGTTCCGTCTATTGAAAAGTGTCTCTTTCTTTCTCTCTCTTTCTCTTTAAAACTTATCATTTCTAAAGGCAGCAATCTTAACTAGTTCATCGTGACGATTATAAAGAGAAAAAAATTCTCCGTGCTAAAGTTTTCTCAATCTCGTTTTTATCATCATTCTCATGCTATCGATTAAACCATTTTATTCATTACCACACCCATTGTTTCAGGAAGCGGAAATCGCCATCGGTACCATGAACGGGCAATGGCTCGGTAGCAGAAGTATTCGAACGAATTGGGCGACTCGCAAGCCGCCTGCACCAAAATCTGAAGGTGAGTCAAAAACAAATGTGAACATCGATCCCTTTTTTTCTTCAACTTATGCCTAAACCTAAAACGTAACTAAACTATTACAATAAATTATACCAATCGAACGATCAAAATTCTGCAAGATCTTAACTCTGTCTTAAAATTGTATATTACGATTAAACTAAAATGACGAAATATATATTTAGAAAAAGAGGTGGGTGGGAGGGGAAGGGGAAAGGAAAAAACAAACAAACAAATAAAGAAAGAGAAAAATATTGACTCTCTCCCTTCCGAGAGAGTAAAAGGAGCTTCCAATTTCTTTTAATAGCTGAAAAGAAAAGAAAAGAAAATATCGGTCGATGAAGGAAAGATGATAGGGATGAAGATGGAAGAGTTTGGGGGAAATAGAAGGGGGATGAGATATGAAACGAGAGATATCCGTCAAAGGAACATCGTGTTTATCTTCCAACGCGGTTTACTCAATGTGAATAAGAATCTCTCTGCGTGAAGGTAAATTAAATATCACGTTGGCGCGTTCACGCGATTGCGGAAATTTTCGTCGATGCAACCAGAATTTGATTAGGTCGGGAAAATTCCATGGTTCGCCCAGAAATGGATGCGCACGATCGAGTCAGTCTATTCTCGTCTCTCTCTCTCTCTCTCTTTTGTCGTTGAGAATTCGAAAGGTTCACTCGTTTTCTTTCTTTTTTTTTCTCTTCTAATACTAGCACCGCGCACTCATAACGTGGATCGTTCGCTCAGAAAGCTTTCACTGTGCCATTCAGAAAAGCTCGAAACGGCTTTACCACGAACGGTTACTCTGCAAAAGCGGCCTCCGCAAAGGCACCACCACTCGCCGTTCGAGTGTTTGTTAATCGATATCTCGAGATGGACTCGAGAGCCTTTTTTCAAACGAACGGGGGGCAAAAGAGAGAAGGTACAAGCCGACCAAACGACCAAACGACCGAACGACTAACTGACTCACTACCTTTTCGATTTCAAACAAGCTACTACTATCGCCTTGCTTAGAGTACTACCTACACCGATCGACTTCGGAAAGCCCTTTTCCTTTTACCACTTCGAATCCCCTATTGCTCTACGACACACACACCAAATTTTCTAACTTCTTTTACCTAGGATTTTTCTTTCCCCCTCATTTGTCGACAAAGAAAGAAATAAAGACCTTTACGGGAAAAAAAAATCTTTGCATTGACTTTTAAGCATTTTCATGAATATTTGTTTCCCTTACCACTAAAAGTCGGGCAAATTTTAAAAAATATTGTGTTTCTTTTTGGCAGGTCTGTTTCCTACATATTTTTCTTTTTTAACATCAATTCATGTAAAATTTCGTATAAATATTGTACATTTTATTATTTAAAATCGTTAATAATCGTTATAGAAATTTGGATACTATCAGATTGATAATAATATTTGTTCAAGAATATTATGATAACATCGAATGATAAATAATCAGTGAATAATCGAATTTTATACGAATTCAAGTGGAAATACTACAATTATAATTGAAATATCTATATCAATCCTGTATATTAATTTGTATTATATAATACACTCTCGTTGATAATATCAACATCTTAATATCAGAAAATATATAAAGAACAATCTTGATGATTATAAAATCATTCGAAAATTAACATGATCAAAAAGAGAGAAAGAGAAAGAAAGAGAGAGAGAGAGAGAGAGAGAGAGAGAGAGAGAGAGAACAGTTCATGAAAGAATATAAAAGCCTTCGGTAAGAAAGAAAAGGGGTATAGTAAGGATACGGTAAGAATTCAATTGAAGTTATGAACTAAACGCATAATGAGCTTGAAGGTAGCACTCCGAGAGCCAAGTAAGTATTATTATATTATCATAAGCGGCTCTCCGTCGTCAGGCCACGGACCTCTCCTACCTCCGGAGAGAGTTAACTCCGACCCCTCGACTAACTAATTTCATTCCCCAAGTCTTTAATTAGTATTCGTCGCGAAGAGTCCGAACTTTTTCACTAGACTACGAAGATGAGAAGAAAGAGAAAGGGAAGGAAGAGAAAGAGGAAGAGGAAGAAGAAGAAGAAGAAGAAGAAGAAAAGAGGATGAGAGATCTTCCGCAGCCTCTGACCCCTTTCCTGGACCCAACCGACCGACCGTTCATCCGTATTTGCATAGACCAAATTCTCCAAAAGCGGAACTTCCTATTTCTTTATCAGACAACCGTTCTGCTCGCGTTAACTAAACTTTTCTCTCTTCTATAAAAATCTATTAGAAAATTTCGATCGAAATATTAAGAGAGATACATTTAAAGATCTTTATTATTATAACCTTTTTTTTTAATTTTAACAAATTATATTATTATATTTATTATCAAGTTAAATATATATTAAGGAAAAAAAGATAATTAACGAAATATATATAAATTTTGTAAAAGTAAATCTTTCTTATCTTAAAGAAAAACGTCGATAATGAACAGGAACGTGGGATGTTACGTCATCTCACGCCGGATGAAGATCTAAGAAACAACATCGTCAGTGGTCGTCCATGGAAACAGTCGAAGCAGGCTCATTTTCTTTCTTTCTCTCTCTCTCTTTCTCTCTTACTCTTGGTGAATAGATTCGAGTAGAAGAGCAAGTTCCGAGTGCAAGTTTATCGACTATCGTTTTACTCCCCTGAATTACACGTCGGAGTTTATATGACTCCGGACTTCTCCTTCGCTCTTCTCTCTCTTTCTCTCTCTCTCTCTCTCTGTCTTCTTTCTTCTTCTTCTTACTTTAGTATCTCTTTCCAAGAACATCCTGGCGATTGCGCCAAAGCTCATCTACAAATCCAAAAGCCAGTGCACCATAGTCACCGCGCCAAGATTCATCTGCATATTTTGACGTAATAGGAGGAACGCGACTGCAGCGAGAAGTCTCTTGCATTATACATTCTTTAAACAAATCTCGACTCGATGTAAGCAGTCGGAAGTTGGTTTAACGCAGGAACACGATGATAATAATAAGAAGATAGGGAAGTACTACATTTCGTGCGAGCCAATTTCTTCGAGGGAAGAAGAAGAAGAAGAAGAAGAAGAAGTTTCGATTATCTGGAAAGTGTGCCGTAGTCTTCTCTTCATTCTTTCTCTTTTCTTCCTTTTTGTCTCTCTTTTCTCTCTCTCTCTTTCTTTCTTTCTCTTTACCTCTCTTTATCTTTTTTTTTTTTTTCTATCGACTTTCCGTTAGCCGTGATTATCGGTAAAAGGATAAAACCATCGAGAGAGAGAGAGAGAGAGAGAGAGTTTAAACATATAAATTTATATCGGTCTTTATAAATTTCTCGATTATATTTTATATTCCGTTTCCCCCGCTTTAAAAGATACACGACTTCGTGAAGAATTTCAATATAAAATTTTGGTAGAAAATTTTCATCACTATTTTGTTGACCCCAATTTTATTATTTAAATATGTGTGCTTAATTTAATCAATGGTTTTTTCTTTTTTTTTCTTCATATTAATTCACTTTCAATCATGTTTATCGATCCTGCGCGATTCTATGTCGAATAAAGAAAGCGAAAGAATAAATTGTCTCTAAATGTGGGTGGGTTCAGAGTACGGAGAGGGTAAATAGAAAAGGAGGATGAGGTCGGAACCGAGCAACCATTTAATTTGACTGAATCCCGAAGTTAGTCGGCAACTAGGTCAATATTTTATAGCTCTGGCAATTAGATAATTTTGCGGCCGGGCAAAAATATGATTGCTGGCGTGTGAAAGGACCAACTTGGGCCACGGGTTAATGTCAAAAGTTTGTATCGTCCTCGACGTGTCGAATCGTAGCTCTTTCTCTTTCACTCTATCTATCTATCCATCTATCCATCTATCTATCTCTACTATCCTTATCTCTCATTCACTTTGTTCAAAACGTTTTTACCGATCTCATATCATTTACAGTCAACATAATAGCGCCTATTCATGAGAAAACTCGATAAAAATATAACATCAAAATTTTTTATTCGATTTTTATTATTCCGAGAATATATAATTCGTTATAGTCGCATCAATAAACCTTGCCAACTTTTCACCTCGAGATATAACTTAGACGACGACAGTTGCGATCGACTATCTTCGGAGCCAAACACATATACACAGACCCAGACATAGACAAAGAGAGAGAGATAGAGAGGGGGAAATGTATAAAGAGGCGAGTCGCTATTATACACGCAGGTGGCAAACGCAACTTTAACGCAATGTTAACGCACCGGAAGTCCAGTCCATCACGAGTGACGTAAAGTCGACATATAGGTATTGAATTAACAACAAAGTCCGTTTGCGAGGGTTAAGTGTCGAGAGATAGATAGATAAAGAGAGAGAGAAAGCTGAAACACAGGGAATATACTCCCTGGCATTAAAGTGCGCAAGAGCCAGTACCGAGCTTGAAAGGTCCGTGTTTAGAATGAGAGAAAGAGAGAGAGATAAATAGATAGATAGATGGATAGATAGATAGATAGATAGATAGTTAGATAGAGTGAGAAGGAGAAAGAGAGAAAGAGAGAGACAGAGATTCGCTAACAGGCTACTAGTACATATACTTCATCGTGTGCGTGATGCAGTCGATGCGGCAGACTGTCTACCTACAAGTTCTATCGCAGGTTCTATCCAATCCCGAGCATAGTAGTTAAAGGCGAGGCAAGACGAGAAGTCTGACTGCCCCTTTAAATTCACCCTACAACCATCCGCATCAGCTTACGACCACCACGAGGGAGAGACCACCCTTATCGCTACGTGCGGGCCTTAACACGTTGTCGTTAACTATACGGGGAGCTTCTATCGTCGTGCCTCTCTCTCGTTGACGATTTTCACAGGGAATAAATGCGACGAGAAACTTCCGTGGTATCCTAGAAGGATGAAAAGATAGTCAGGATCATGCATAAATGTATATATATATATTTATAAGATTCCACGTCATAATTATATCGTTTTGTTTCGTATTCTAAATTGTATCAGAGATATATCTTTCACGTATTCATAATAATATTAATCATTAAACGTTAGCTGA